AAGATATGTGAGCAGCAGTGATGAGTGTCACTTCTTGGGAAGGTGTTTAAGAGGTAGTGTACAACTTTCCTGCTACCATGAATGAATTAGAGCAGGGACATTGCTGATATAAAATACTCACAAAGTAGAATGTAATTTAAGCCTCTCAGATTTTTAAGTTGTTTATTGGTAGCAACATAATGTAGAATGGACTGTCTAATAAAAGGTAAGATCAAGAATAATAGACATGTGAGGTTAATTGTCAAAAAACATAGTGCACGACTAAGTTTCAATGAAAAATAGCAATAATGAAAGCAGCTGCCATTTTTTAAGTGTTTGGCAAGGTACTCAGCTCATTGCGTACATTTTCTTTAGTACTCAAAACAAACCCACAAAATAGCAATCTACATTTTATAGATGAGAAACAGAAGCTCAGGGAGGTTAGAAGAACTACTTAAAATAATGTAAGAAGACAGAGAACTATGAAAAAATCCCGGTCTTTTTTATTTCCAAAGCTCACACTGCTCCTAAAATAGTCTGGAAAGAGCTTCTGAAAATCACTCACACTTCAAGGCTCTTTTCTTTCTTCCCTTTTCTCTTCTTTCACATTTCTACTTTTTCCTCCTCTCTCCCTTTTCTCTCACCTTTAATTTCTTTTTCCTTCCCATCATTTTCTCCTACTTCCTACCTTCTCATTCTATCCAGATACTTATTGTGCATTTTCTTCCTGCTCATGTAAGAGGTGTGGACTTTTCCTCAATGTTGTCTTCCCATTGCCATTCCTTGATGGAAGTAATTCTTTTTTTTTTTTTTTTTTTTTTTTTTTTTTTTTTTTTAGATGGAGTTTTGCTCTTGTCGCCTAGGCTGGAGTGCAGTGGCACAATCTCAGCTCACTGCAACCTCTGCCTCCTGGGTTCAAGTGATTCTCTTGCTGCCTCAGCCTCCCAAGTAGCTGGGACTACAGGTGCATGCCACCACACCCAGCTAATTTTTGTATTTTTAGTAATTCTTTTATCTCCCCTCTTGAACCCTGTTTTTCTGTTTGTTGCTTTGTGTGATTTTCTTTCTAGCTATCACCACCTGACAAAATTGGACACCAACTCTCAGCCAAATAATTTATGCCATTATATTATTTTTTTTTTCGTCTTGGTTCTTTTCACACCTGGCTAACTGCAAAGTTGAACATAATCTCCTAATATTTTCAATGACCATGTTAATGCCTACAACTAGGAAAAAGCAAAAAGAAATTTTGAAAGACAGCAATAAAGAAATTAGTGTTGAAAGATAGTATAAAAGTAGTGATAATAAATTTCATGGTTTTCTTCTCACTGTCTTTTAGAATTTTCTCATTAGTCAGTTAGGTTAGATTCTGAGATGTTTTCCTTCCCTCAAGAGAATCAGCTCTTCCTGTGCTAAATTGGCATAACACTATATAAAGATCACCAGAGTTAAGGCCAAATTTGAGTTATGGAATTATAGTCCTTACGTAACTCCTTTATTTCTTTTCATAAAATTGGTGACTAGAAACTTTCTCCATTCTTACAATGTTCTACATTTCCACTCTAGAACTTCCTTAACAATTGTGGATTCTTTTTGGAATCCATGATTCAGACTGGTTAGAGAAAATAGAGAGAAAGCCTTCCCCCTCTTTTTTTTTTTTTTTTTTTTAGGCCAAGCCTCCCTCTGTCACCCGGGCTGGAGTGCAGTGACGCGATCTCAGCTGACTGCAGCCTCCATCTCCCAGACTCAAACCTCCGAGTAGCTTGGATTACAGGCACATGCCCTCACACCTAGGTAATTTTTATATGTTTCGTAGAGACAGGGGTCTCACCATGTTGGCCAGGCTGGTCTTGAACTCCTGACCTCAAATGATCTGTCTGCCTTGGCCTCCCAAAGTGCTGGGATTACAGGCATGAACCACCACATCCAGCTCAAGAAAGCCATTTTTTTAATCCATAATGTGTCACAGTAATATTTGCCATATAATATTGAAATTGTGTTTTGCCCCCACAAAACTGTGAGTATGTTTACAGTGAACATCAAGATCTTCACATTGCCATCCATGTGCCTAGCTCTTCCCCTGGGACATGGGTGGCCCTCGGTAACTGACTGATAAGGTGAACTAAACTGATACTTGAAGGTTGTTCCTCCCCTTGACTACCGTTCATTCCACACTGCCTTCTATTTTTGAGAGGTGACTTTAGTTTCTACTCACCTCACTTCCTCAAAATTCTCTTTTCTCCACAAAGTGTCTCTTTTTCAAAACCAAGGTTGACAATATATTTACTAAGTAGTCATTAATTAATTATTCCAAGCCGAGTAGATTTTCTCGGTGCACTTTAAAGGGGCTGGCTTCTTTCCTATTTTCCTAAGTTAATTTTGTATGAAATTCTCATTAGCTTCTTGAAGAGGGCACTAGCAACTGGAAGCCTATTGCTGTGGTTTAAATGTGTGCCGTTCAAAATTCAGGTGTTGCCAATGTGATAGTACTAACAGCTGAAGGCTTTAGGGGTAATTAGGACATGAAGCTCCTTCCTCAAGAATAGGATTTAGACCCTTATAAAGTGGCTTCACGCAGCATTTGGTTTCTTGCCCTTTTGTCTCCTGCCATGTGAGGACACAGCATTCCTTTCTTCTGGAGGATGCAGCCTTCACTAAATAGCCAATCTTGTAAGGGCCTCGATCTTGGACTTTTCATTCTGTAGAACTGTGAGAAATAAATTTCTTTTTAAAATAAATTACCTGGTTTGTGATATTTCACTATAACAGCAGAAAATGGACTAAGACATCCGTGTTTTCTAAGACTCCCAGTGAACTCAGCAAAATAGGTCTTTTTCTAGCCTAAAATGGCCTCAATGCTTTTATTCAACAACAAAAAATAACTTGCATTAAGTTTTTCTGCTTCAGGTCACATGACTCATTTATCTACCAGATTCTCAGGTCCGTGCTCTCCAAATTCTCCTTTGAAAAAAAGAAAATGATTTCTACAATCTACTATTACAGTTTGGCAAGATAAGAATATTTAAAGCATATTAATAACAAATATTGTGAAGATTCAAAATCATTATTTTTAAAGGGATGACTGTATGGTTGATCTGAGCAAAAGTTTTGGAATTAAACAGGCTTAGGTTAAAATCCTGATTGAGCCATCTGTCAGATGTGTTCAAGTTACTTTATCTCTGAGTCTTCAGTTTTTCATCTATAAAATGGTAATAAAATACAACTCAAAGATTCCCATCATGATTAAATGCAATAACACCTGGAATGTTGTACTTCTATAATAAATGGTAGCTCTTGTTATTATAATATGATTCTTGTAAGCAATACTTGAAGAATTAAGATCTGAGAGAAGTAAAATAATCAAGGGAAGCAGGATTCCTTAGGTCCCTCCCAAGAACCATCTCTCTTTTTTTTTTTTCCTTCTTTGTAAGATGTAGAAAAATCCATCCACTAGGATAGGATCTGATGGAAAAGAATGCCTTTTTGTTTTGTCTTCACCGTGGGTGGATTTTGATAAATCTTTGGTCAATTAGAAGCTGAAATTTGTATCCTTCTTACAGAAGTCTCCTCTCAAGTCTCTTCACACAGATGCCTGCAGTATTAGGACCTATCCAAATGTCCAGACTCCTTTCAGTATTAGATGACCAGAAGAAAATAGAGTCAGCAACCCTGCAGTCTGCCCTAAATAACTCATCTCAATAGCTTCCATCAGAGCAATATCATGAAATAACACATTAAGTCATTTCCTAACAACTTAACACCAAATTCAGAAATAAATTATAACAAAGGTGGAACAAAGTTGGAATTCTTGCTAGTTTATACCTGCAGTATCCATTGCAATGGACATATTTTTTTAGTATCGTCCCAGTAGAGTGTTCTGCAATCTCAAATGGAAGAAGTTGTTTCCCAGGGTACATTTGGAAATATCTGGAGAAATTTTGCTTGTCATAATGGAAGGAAGGGGATGCCACTTGTATCTGGTGTTTGAGGCCAGCAGTGTACTAAATATCTCATAATGCTCAGGACAACCTCCCTATCATAATAATCATTCAGCTTCAAATGTCAGTGGTGCTTAGGGTAAGAAGCACTGTTACAAAGTCTGTATACACTTATTACCAACCCTTCAATATCAGGTTTGATCTGGGACTCGTTGCCACACTTCAAATCTCTTGGGTCAATGTTTTAGTTTGTTCTTACGTTACTAAAAAGAAATAAAAAAGAAATACCAGAGACTGGGTAGTTTATAAAGTAAAGAGGGTTAATTGGGTAGCAGTTTCACAAGGTGTACAGAAAGCATGATGCTGGCATCTACTGGACTTCTATGAAAGTCTCAGGAAACTTACAATCATAGTGGAAGGCCAAGGGGGAGGGAAGTATCTCACATGATAAGAGCAGGACCAAGAAAAGAGTTGCCAGGGGTGCTACACATATTTTTTTTTTTTTGAGACAGTCTTACTTTGTTGCCTAGGCTGGAGTTCAGTGGTGCAATCTTAGCTCACTGCAACCTCCACCTCCTGGGTTCAATTTATTCTCCTGCCTCAGCCTCCCAAGTTGCTGGGATTAGTAACCTATTTCATGAGAACTAATTTGCTGTCATGAGCACAGCACGAAAATGATGGCGCTAAACCATCGGTGAAAAATCACACACTTGATTTAATTACCTCCTACTAGGTTCAACCTCCAACACTATGGATTACATTTGAACATGAAATTTGGGTGGGGACACAAATCCAAACCACATAAATCAGCAAAACTTCATTTCCTTTCTTCCACAGCAGAAAGTCATACTTTCTTGTTTTTTTCTTCTTGAATCCCCTGTCTCAAAGTGCTCCCTGGTAGTTTCTGTCTGTTCTCTGTATCTCTGGGTAGTGGATAGTAACATTCATGGGCAAAGATAAAAAATGGGGCCTCAAATTTTAGTCCAGTCCTTTTAGTAAGTGTATTAGCCCATTTTCACACTCCTGATAAAGACATATACGAGATTGAGTAATTTATGAAGGAAGGAGGTTTAATTTACTCACAGTTCTGCAGGGTTGGGGAGGCCTCAGGAAAATTACAATTATGGCAGAAGGTGAAGCAAACACATCCTTCTCCACATGGTGACAGGAAGTAGTACTGAGCAAAAAGAGAAAAAGCCGACTATAAAACCATCAGATCTCATGAGAGCTCAATTACTATCACAACAACAGCAGCATAGGGATAATCACCCTCATGATTCAATAACCTCCTGCCAGGCCCCTCCCATGACATATGGATATTATGGGAATTATAATTCAAGATGATATTTGGGTAGGGACACAGCCAAACCATATCAGTAAAACTCTATTATACATAAGAATCCAATAATTTTAAGGATCTAATGATAACCTTGCATTTCCAAAAAGTAGATCCACAGAAACTATGTCATTGAGATGTTCATATTTAATGAAAAAATAAATTTCAAATATCTTACATTTGGAAAATGCTATGATGAAATTAGACAAATTTCTTTACTAAAGGGCTTTTTTGGGCTTTTAATATGATATTATGTCTTGAGAATCCACAAGTAAATGATATATGAATATTCCTTAAATATATTCCATCTCAAAAAAATTGTTTTTAAAAAAGATAATCTTTCTGGACTCTTGCTCAGTAGTCTGCAACTTTGCAAGTTATGACTCATCTAACTTGCTCATTTGACTGAGACCCAGAAAGTGAAAGGACCCATTCCAGCTTACATGTTCAAGTTTTTCCAGGCAGGGGATCTTAATATAAGAGTGTTGATTCTGATTCACTGTTCTTTTCAATACATGTTGGTGACAAAAGAAGGTATTAATACTAGTAATGCATTCTGATGCTGCAAGCATTTCCACTTAATTGAATGTTTTCTTTAAAATTTAAGTACTCACACACTGACATAAGAATAACTATAAACTGGTGTATCATATGATGCCCTCTTCATGTATTTATTCTCATGCAATATTTTGGTTTACAACTAGGTTTACAAATGTTTGTTAACTTATTTATGCATGGCTAAACCAGCAATAGTTTTGTTAAGATTTCCCTAAACATTATCAGCTGAAAAAAAAATTATGCTTAAGTTGATTGGATTTACCTAGTTCTATGAACCAATAATATTTTGCATTCATATAATAATTCTTTGGAATTATTTTGTACTGGAGTGCACCTTATTTCACTAAAATACTTATTCTCACATTTTTGTTCTATGTGATGTTCTGGATCATTAAACACAGATTTTTAGAGTCTTACCCTGGGTCCACTGAAAGAAGAACTTAAGGATTAAAGGTAAGAAAAAAGAGAAAAGGAGGTAAGCAAAGAGGTGAAAATCGTGATGTGATATGCTATCTCGTGGCTACCACTCTGCAATGAGTTGCAAAGTTTTCTAACCTTTTTTAATTTATTTCTACTTTTCTACATTTTACCAACATATATTGCTTACTTTTTCAAATTTCTAATTTTTGATAAGATCTCAGCGTGATCCACTTTTATTTCCAAACTCAGCTACCAAATTTTCAAATTTTCTCTGACCTATTGGAAGGGAATTGATTTAATCTTTTTCTGAAGTTTCTAAGCGGCATATTGACATAGCTCTTAAATATTTATTTATTTATTTACTATTTTTTGAGACAGGGTCTCCCTTTGTTGCACAGATTGGAGTGCAGTGGCACGACCTCAGCTCACTGCAACCTCTGCCTCCTAAGCTCAAGTGATTCTCCTGCCTCAGTCTCTGAACAGCGGGGATTATAGACATGTGCTACCACGCCCAGCTAATTTTTGTATTTTTAGTAGAAATAGGGTTTTGCCATATCGCCTAGGCTGGTCTTGAACTCCTGGCCTCAAGGAATCTTCCCACCTTAGCCTCCCAAAGTGCTGGATTACAGACATAAGCCACTGCACTTAGCCTGCATATTTCATGAAACAGTCATTATATTTTATGTTTTATAACAGGATTTTCTTTGGACGTGTCTGATATTTCTATTAGATCATAGGAGTCCTAATTGGACAACTACATTCCCTTTTAAAAAATCTCTGGATTGCTCACAGCACTTTGGAGAGGGTCTTGCACATTTTCCATCCTCGATATAAATTTGCTAAATAATTGCTTGTTTAAATTTGTTCACACTTTCTTTCAATATACACATGTATAGTCTTTGTCTTTTTCCAGTCCTGACTTTTAAAAACTTTTTCTTAGGAAATTTCATTGATATAGGCAATTGAAGAAAATGCACACAACAAAATGTTTTCTTTATATAAATCTTAAAAAAGTGTTGCTGAAAGGAATAAGATGATGTAGTTAGAAGTACAGCAGGCCTATGTTTCTAGGCTTTGATACTAATTAGCTGAGCAACCTTGAGAAAGTCATCTTTCCTTTCTAGGCCTTCATTTTCTTATCTTTAAAATGAACTATAGTGTTTTCTATATGAGCTACCACACAGGAATTTTCGAAGGAACAAACACTATCACATAAATACATTTTGGAGGTGCAGAGCACCATATAATTGCAAACACTATCATGAGTAGAAAATAATAGAGTCTTTGAGTAGGGCAGCACTTTGAAAACATTTAGCCCAGTCATCTTACGTTAGTGATGAGTATACTGGATACTAGAAGGTTACAGAACTTGTTCAAAGTCACAGAATTGGTTGATGCCACAGCACAGAGAAAACACAAGAATTAAATCACCCACTTCTATTCCTTTTAAAATTCTACTCCCAGCTATCCAGCTCACCTGATCTCTCCTGATTATTAAATCATTTCTCTCCTCCCATCCCCAGTGCTCCTTTCTGTGGCACATGATTAATTTGCTCCGACTCTTTGAAGAGGTCAGAAACACTGTCATTGACATTTGTGTAAAATATTTCTACCCTTCAGTGATTCTAGGCTTTTAGGGTTTGACTTTAACCTGGTATCCCAGTCAGGTCCCTGGGTGGCTAGTCATCCTGGCTAGCATCTTCTTCTTCTTCTGGTCTCTCTATACTAAGCCAAATTGCCCTGAAAATCATAAATGAGTATCTTGACTTTGCTTATTTGATAACCTGACTCTGCACTTTATTTGAGTAATTCTCCCAGACAGACGGTGCCCCCAGCTATTTGGGCATTTAAACAGCACAGATGACTTTTCTGCTGTACAGTCTACAACTGCCAAAGTCAGCTCATGTCCTCAGCCCTTCCGCATTCTCTGAGATATTTTTGGTGGGTTATCATTCAGGCATTTTTACAAATGGAAGATTAGTTATTTTAATTGTGTACTTACAATACATGGGATCTTGAGCAGTAAAATTAAGGACAAAGTTTGTCAACAAATTCTAGCCTTCTGGTTTCTAGACATGTTACTTGGGTGCATAATACTATCTTTTGTAATTAATTTTCATTCATGTTGTTATTATTTTGAAAAACATGAAAAATAGAAATACCTTATTTATTAACCTACAACTCAATTTGTATTTTCTTTCATTCAAGGCAAGGATGTTATATTAGTTGCCTTTGAATCTCAACAGGCTATTATTTCTTTTGACAGTGAAAAAAGTCAGAAAATCCAAGCACTTTCCTTTGGCAGTAGTCAGATGAAACTCATATATACAAAATGGAATGAAAAACTGTCTGATGAGCTAGACTTGAGGCAGGAGGACAGGCATCATATATCTTATTGTATTATTTGCCTTCCTTGGCCCTCCAATAACTATTCCCAATTTTGTTTTGCATCATCTGTTCCCCAAAATATACTCCTTAGGCTTTTATATTTATAGGTCCTACTTTCCTTTTCATTCCTTTTATGTTCTTTTTTTCCCGTTTCTTCCCTCCCCAATTATTCTATGGAGGTTTTTATTGACTTTGGCCTTTGATAGCTCTATGTATTTGAAAGCAGCCATTCACCACCTCCTCTGGAGAAGTACCAATAAAGTGCAAAACCATTATCACAAAACTGTTTCTCAAAGTTTTGTCACATCTCAGACAGCTTCATGAAGATATGCTGAATGGATTTGTTTTGTTTGTTTTGCTTTAGGAATTGCTAAGGGCAACAGGCAGTCCTGAAAGGGATTGTAAATCATGAGTTACTGTGACACATCTTATTTGTTGCAGTGGGTATTTGCTTTCTTTGGGCCAAAAAATTCAAAATTTTGTTCAAAACTATTTTTCGATGTCCCATGCCATATCAGAAAAATGGTGCATGTCTTCTTGCCTGAAATGGAGAAAACTCTCTAAATTGCTTTTAAATAATGTCCAATCTCAGGCCAACAAGCACTGTATTAAGTAGCAACAGACTGCTGTGAGGAGAGAGAGACAGAGAGAGGCAGAGACAGAGACAGAAATTCTAGAATATGCAAAAACAACAAATTCTAGAAGGCTATTACAAAATGGAAGCAACAACTAACATCAGCCAAGGTAGATCATCTGAATACATAGACTATCTAAGTAATGCTCATTGTGTTAGGTCTTTTTTTAGGAAACTCTGTGGTGTTCAGACAGGCCACTGGGAGTTCTACTTGCACAGTTTTACTCTGACATGGTGGGCTGCTGTTTAGGCAGTATCAATATATTTGCAGTGATGGAAGATGTTTGGGTTTATTCTGAGTGGAAGATGATTTATTTTTGTTTGTTTGTTTGTTTATCTGTACTTTGGAAATCCTGACAGAGGAGCCTGAAGCTATCTACACTGAGCATTGATCTGTGCATCAGCAAGTTTAGAGCTTAAGAGGGAAATCCAATCTGGAGCACAGGCCTTCTACAATGTGATCATCGTGCCCTGTGTGAGGGCCACCATGCAGTGGGCCCTGAGAACATGGTGTGAACAACAATGAAAAAACGTTCTTGACCTCAGAGAGTTGAGGTCTGCTACAATAGGAAAGAAAATAGGAAGCAGTGTCTACGTTTCAGATGGAAAGGAGACAGTCAGAGGGACTTAAAACAATAACAACATAGTGATATGGAATTCATGAAAGGGGGTGTGATGAATAAGCAATTTTTCAACTGTATTCACTTTCATAGAGTGTTTTAGGAAGGTAAATATTAAAAAGAAGATATCAAAGTAAATGAAATTAGAAATACACATTTCATTTTGTGAAAACACAATTCTTTGTCTATCCTAGAAGGACTCTATCAATAACAAACATAGCTCTCCATGAGACATCATGACTCTCTAAAAGATGCTTACTGTACAGATGACTTTTTTTTTAATTTACAGATTTTTTTCTGAATACTTTTAGTGTTTATGTCTGGTATACATTTCATCCTATATTATCTTACACTTTTATCACTCATGGAACATTCAACAATTCTTTACTAGTTGGTTGGTGAAAGCAAAATGGATATACATTTCTCCTATTTGGCAGACATTTTTTGGAGGGTGTAAATTTAATAAATATATACTGAGAACTTTTTATCTGCATCCTATACACAAGATATTGCACACATACTAACAGAATAGTACAAATGTCATATAACTAACATATAACTAATATACATAAAAAGTAAATAACAATTCAAGGCAATCATAGCATGTAGACAGTCAGGTTTCTGTTAGATTCATTAGTTCTTTCATTCACTCTTCAAATTATTCATTTGAAATGTATCTTCAAATTTCATTCAAAATCTAAGGTTCTCTAATTGTATAGTATGGCTTCAAATCCATTCACTTGAACTCTTCTTTATGTGTGTGTTCTCTTTCCAAACAGCCCTAAGAAGAGAGGTCAGAGGACATGATTTCTCTGTGAATAGTCTCTGAAACTCCGGGAAGCATGCTGTGAAAGCAAGTAGCTTTCTCTCCATGGCTACTGGCTAAATAAAATCAGTGTGTATAGGCACATAAACATATAAATAGAGATACATAAATACATGTACTTTATAAATGTTGGGTCTATATCTCAGCAATATTTTGTCTCTTATTCTGAATTGAGTCATTTATCCCAAGTAGTCTTTTGCTAAACTATAGAATAAAGTTTTGGGGCATTGTGATATATTCAACTTCATGCAGCTATTTTGATGCCATCATTTTTATCCAGGGAGTTATTTGTAGAACTTTTTCTAAATTTGGTCCAATTAAAATATGAACTCATTGCATTTCTTTGCTTTTACTTATTAGGGAGAATACATAAGCGAAGTCATGATTATCAGCCCATTCTTGATCCTATCTCCAACACAATCCCCATCCCCTGAGTGAGGTGGACAAATGAATTTTCCCCTTGTGCCTTCATTTGTATCTATTCTTACTTCCTGTCTATTCAAAATTATCATAATTTTCAGTCCAAATGACAGAAGAAGCTAGTCTGATTGGCTTATATAATTACTGTTAACCTTATTGAGTAGAGTCATTTATGACTGAACATGCCATTGTTCATCATGAAAACTATGGCTTGGTTACCTTTCAATAACAAAAGCAGCTAATCCTGATATAATCAGTGGCCAACTCTGCCTGTGGGACACCTCACTACTTATTTCACAAGCATTGGTCTGTGGATAGGGCATGTTCACAAAGAAAGAGATTTTGGGTATAGCTTGGCTAACCATAGGTGCTAATTTGCCTAAAACAGCACCTGCTGTTTAGCTCTCCCAGCTATCTAGCTCAACAATCCTTTCTCAAGTGGTAATGTAGATGCACTGTCCTTTGTGTCATTGGCTGCCATCTTCTTACATACAGTTTCAAGGATGCTTCTATCTAAAATGATCAAACCTAAACACAATTATTGCCTTCTAATAGGGATGCGATTCAAAGCCATCTCTGGTTATTATATCCACAGAGAATATCACAGGATTCTTTAAATGTTGTTTGTCTTGGAATCCACAGTCTCCATATGTTGCATACTTTTACTTTAGTTCCATCATAATTCCACCCAGATGTTATCAGATCTTCTATAAGCTATGGACTGCATACTAAATTGAGTTACCAACATAGTTAGTGAAGAGAGGATAATTAGAACACATGTAAACACATATGAACAATGGCAATAATAACTGGGCACAGATGAAAGCTGTAGCCCTTTTTCTATTTCACAACACTTTAGCAGGTTTTTTGTTTCTTTTTTTCTCCAAGGCATATTCTTATAGTCTTTGGCTTTCATCCATAATCCCATTTGGCCATAACTCTTAATATAATGGCATGAGACAAATCCCTGGTTGTTCAGAATCCAAGGTCTTTGTGGTCTTGCCTATGCAATGCAGTGGTAGTCTGTTGTTAACTTGTACCACTGATCATGGTCATACGAGAAGCAGAACAGAGATCCCTCAAGTCCCAAATTCACCTTCTATGAAAATTCACACCTAAGATTTCTGCATAGCATGATAGCACCTTTGTTCACTTATTTCTCTAAAATTAAGGAGTTTTGACATTGTTAATATGCAGTTTTAGTTTCCAACTTAATGAAATGTATGTTTTTTCTCTAGGTTGAATGATACTTCTTTTGCCTTTTATCACTGTAGAGGAGCAGGAAGCAAAGATTTTGAAATTTATTCATTAAGAATAATCATGAGAGATTAAATCCAGCAGCTCCAAAGCACGGTCTCAAGATTCAAATGTTGCAGAGAAAAAAAAAGAGATGATGTTTCAGACTTCAGACCACATCTAAGAAGACAAATTCATCAGGAAAACCTCATGAATCCCATTTTAATAAAGATACTTCACTTCTAGAGCAGTCAGCATTGGTTGCCAATCCTAATATTCATTTTTCTATCCGACTTTATTAAAAGAATTTAACTTGTATTCAACTGCCCATGCCTCAGGGAAGCTAACACTATTCTAAGTTTTTGTTTGTTTGTTTGTTTTGTTTTGTTTTGTTTTGAGACCAGGTCTCACTGTATTACCCAGGCTGGAGTACAGTGGTGCAATCACAGTTAACTGCAACCCTGATCGCCTGGGCTCAATCAATCCTTCCACCTCAGCATCCCAAGTAAGCTGTATGTGCCACCAAATGTGGCTTTCTTTTTTATTATTACTATTATTATTTGTAGAATGAGGTCTCACTGTGCCACACAGGCTGGTTTCAAACTCCTGGGCTCAAGTAATCCTCTGACCTTGGCCTCCCAACGTACTGAGATTACAGGTGTGAGCCACTGTACCCAGCCTATCCCAAGTTCTTAAGCATAGGCTGGGTGCCGTGGCTCACGCCTGTGATTCCAGTACTTTGAGAAGCCAAGGTGGGTGGATCACCTGAGGTCAGAATTTAACCCGCCTGGCCAACATGGTGAAACCTTTTCTCTACTAAAAATACAAAAATTAGCCAGGCATAGTGGGGGGTGCCTGTAATCCCAGCTACTCGGGAGGCGAAAGCAGGAGAATCGCTTGAACCTGGGAGGTGGAGGTTGCAGTGAGCCTAGATCATGCCACTGCACTCCTGCCTGGAAGACAAATGAAAAAAAAAAAAAAAAAAAAGTGTAGTAATTCCATTGCACTTACCAGTAATTGGTTTAAGGGTGAACATACAACATAAACGGTAGCTGTGTTGAAGAGCTTCTGAAAAACAAGAAAAACAAACAACAAATATATACATGAGGTATTGCTCACTCTGAAAAAAAGGGACAAGAAAATGACTTCTGCTACATGTTGCTTTGTTTCCATTGTATGTAATATCAGCAGTCCTTTGAAAATGAAAGGGAGATAGGGGTTTCACTTAGAGGAAAACCTGGAGGGCAAGCTCCCAGCCCTGCAGGGAATGTGTCTGTCCTACTAAGAAATGAGCCCAAAGTATGAGAAAACTCAGAGGAAGATAAAACCAACCCTCCGTTGGTGAGCTGTAAAATGTCTCAGAGAAAGTTATTTTTTTCAAATGAAAATTAAATATTAGTTCATCAAGGACAAGTATGGCAGGAAAAAGTGATTCTCAAGTAGAAGGAATAGAATATGTAGAGGTGAAGAAGCTTAAAAGAGAATGTCAAAGTAGAGAAAATTTTTCAGTGGATTATTTAGGGAAGAATGAGTCAGAAAATAAAGCTAGAAAAGTTGTTCAAGACCAGATCCTGGGGGTCATATTAGGAGTTGCTTTAAAGGGTGTGAAATTCAAATACAACTGATGAGGACAAGTTGAAAGTGCTTCAAGATTATACATATTCAGATTCACTGTTAGAAAATTTCTTGAAAGAATGAATAGGACAATGCAGACTTAGGAACAGGGAAAACCACGAGCAGGCAGTTAAAATAGTAAAATAGGAGAAAAGTGAGGGAGCTAACAGAAGAAATTGGTTTCACTTAATTAACTCTTGCTTTTTAGAAAATTTTATGCCCTGCAGCTCATACAATACCACTTGGATTTGAAACCTGGTTTCATTTCTGCCAATTTCTATGGCAAGTCTTTTTATAAAATGCTCACAAATATTTAAAGTTTTCAACCTAGGATAACTAACAACTCTAATTTTTGATATTCTTTCTCCATTCTTAAAGGATAGCATCAATTGCCTTTATGTTGTTTTTCCTCTTTCCTAAATTACATTGAAAACTTCTGCCAAAGGCATAAAATCATCATTTAAAAAAAAAAAATCAGTCAGCCCATCTGTTGCAGAAGTGCCACCTTCCCTGACAACTGCTAACACATTTTTCTCCCTCTCTGGCAGTAAGTGTTGCTTCTAAATTGCCCAATAGAGTCTTTGAGGGAATCTCAAATTCTTCCCCCAGCCTTTTTGGTCTCACTCTTCTAAAACGTAGGTAAGACTTAGGCTAGGTAGATGGAAAATACTTTCTTATCACATAAATATTTCTTTGAAGTTTGGCATAACTTACTCTTTTAAACTCTCAAAATGATCATTATATCTTCACTTCTCTTAGCTTTGCATGAACTTTGCTCTCTACACAGACTATACTAGCAGGCTTTGATTAGCCATAGTACATTAGACTGAGGAAAGAGGAGCCCTGGTCTTGGACCCGGACTTTAGAGAGCACCTTTGCAACCCTTCTCTGGCATGGCAAGTGGTAGGTGTCCATAAAGCTGTACAGATGTGCTCGATTAGAGCCAGTATTCCTCATCTGGATTATGCTCCACATATCTGCGACCTTGGGATTTTTAGCCTAAACAATCCCAGCCTCTTTTCCAGACTGTATGGATCTCTTCACTAAATCTTACTTCTAAGGAAATGGCCATTGTACTCACCCTTGGGGAAGGGATGATCGTAGGGTAACTGTTTGCAACAGGTAGAGACGGAGTTTAACGTTCAGACTCTCAGCTTGATTTTCAGGGTGTCATACTCCTAGTACAGAACACTGAAAAGTTAAATAATTCTAAATTCAAATGTATTCTTCCAGGTTCCTATGAAGGAATATTTTTCAACATAGGAGGATCAAATAAAATTTGATAGTTTATTTTGTTTTGTTTTGTTTTAAAAAAGTAAATATTTAACATATGTTATGTAGGTCTCCATTTGTACTATTGCTTCAGGAATCACATGTGGTAGGAAGTAGTAAATTATGAAGAATGATTTGGTGGGTTGTAGACAGCTCTCTTGTTCTAAGATGTTCCTCTATAGCTAAGTTGCTACAGCTGAAATCCTACCATCATTGTCCCTTGTTCAAACGTAAATGCACCTGAGGGTATCATTTCTGTGGTACTGGCATATCTAAATTCTTTCCAGATGGTAGTTTTAGAGAATATGTTTTAATAAATGGAAGATAGAAAAGCTATGAAAACAGATGATGGCTGTGTGGGTCTGAGAAAGACTCAGGGGAAACCACAGAGAGGAAGGAACGATAAGGGGAACCCACAGAGAGATTGTGCACAACGTAGCGGATTTGCAGAGGTGATGGCTCCCAAAGGTTCAGAAAGTTCAGTTGCCTCAGATCATCATTTCTGACCTTCAGATTCCAAGTGCATTTTACTCATGTCTTCTGTGGGCCTGGTCCAGTGTTATTCTCAACTTCACAAGAAAGTAAAACGGAGGGGACAGGACTACTTTATCCAATACCATCTCCGGCACTGACAGGTTTCCAGCCTTATAAAAACAACTCTGTCCATGATTTTTTTCTTCTCTTGGATAGAGATATTTTCTGACAAAGCTTATTCTTGAGGCATTTTTGGTTGGTTTTACCTGTATTTTTTTTTTTTTCTTTTCTTTTCTTTGGTTTTTTTTTTTTTATCCTGTTTCTGAAACTCAGATAATAATGAGTTTGAAGGTGGGTTCTATAAAATAAAATGTTTTGTACATGAACATATAAATAGGCTGCTAACATTGTGTGTAGGGGTAGGGGGATGAGTTTGTGTTGGACTTGTAATCACAGTAAAGGCATATGCAACAGGAAACACCACTAACTAAAGGGCTGAGGTTGCTGTAATTGCTGAGGTTTAACACATGAAGGGGGCCACCCCCACCATTTTTAAGAGAACAATACACAGAAACAGAATTCAAATCGTTTATCAAAAACCAAGTCCCTGAACATCCTCCCCCAAGAAGCTGAAGGTTGGATATAACTCTGAGGTAATGGATGGTTTCAGGACAATTCAAAAAATCAGAGTAGACTTTTGGGGTAGAATTTTCCTTTTAGTGGTTGGATACGGACTGTTACCTATGAGATGCAAAAACAACTAAAACTGTGTTTTATCAAATTCAAAATTATTCTAAAATCAGCTATTAATTCAAATGGTTATTATAATAGAAATTATGATTGAATGTTTATACTTAATATGAAATAGTACATATCGAGGGCTTACCATATGCCTGCCTTGTATTACATAAAACATTACCTCATTTTAGTTCCACAACAATTCCCTAAGAGTTAGGTAAAATGTTTATTCTTGTGTATCGGTAACAATCAGGCAGGAAGACAGAACCTGTGACAGAGATCTTGAAATGGATGGAAGAAATGGAGTGGTAATGCCTGAATAAGGGATAAGTGGCTGGGAAGCTGTTTGGAAAGATGCCAGCAAAGCATACTGTTATAGGAAAGGGTCCCAATGCAGACCCAAGAGGGTTCTTGGATCTCACGCAAGAAAGAATTCAGGGCAAGTCCACAGAGTGAAGTGAAACCCAGTTTATTAAGAAAGTAGAGGAATAAAAAATGGCAACTCCATAGATAGAACAGCCCCAAGAGCTGCTGGTTGCCCATTTTTATGGTTATTTTTTGATTATATGTTAAATAATGGATGGATGATTTATGGCTTTCCTTTTTAGACCCTGTTGGTGGTGCTAATGGAAGGGTGGTAGTGGGAGGGCCGGAGGTGACTCTCGTCACCATCTTGGTTTTGGTGGGTTGTGGCTGGCTTCTTTACTGTAAACTGTTTTATCAGCAAGGTCTTTAGGAACTGTATTTTGTGCTTACCTCCTATCTCATCCTGTGACTTAAATACCTTAAACATCTGGGAATTCACCAAAATGAGTTTCAACCTCATTTTACCCAGCTCCTGTTTAAGATGGAATTGTTCTCGTTCACATGCCTCTGACAATACTACCAAAGACAAAACTTGTTGTTTCAGTTCCAGTCGCAAGTTATATATTCAATAAAAATAAAAACAAAAACATTGAGTACCTAATATATATTAGAGCCTCTATAGAAGGTCAATGTATTAATCTCTTCTCATGCAGCTAAGAAGACATACCCAAGACTGAGTAATTTATTTAAAAAAAAGAGGTTTAATGGACTCACAGATCCACAGGACTAAGGAGGCCTCACAATCATGGCAGAAAGCAAGTGAGGAGCTAAGTCATGCCTTACCTGTCAGCAGACAAGAGAGAGCTTCTGTAGGGGAACTCCCCTTTATAAAATCATTAGCTCTCATGAAACTTATTCGCTACTATGAGAACAGTATGGGGGCAACCACCCCATGATTCAATTATCCCCAGCTGGTCCTGCTCTTGACAGGTGGGAATGATTACTATTTAAGGTGCGATTTGGGTGGGGTCATAGCCAAACCACATCAGTCAAAATATGAAATAAGCATAATTCACCCTTCTTATAAGAAGCAGATATTCAAACATAAATTCAGATTTGGTGTGATAGTTGTTCAATAGAAGCATGTGCAATATCAAGGGAAGAACTAAGTAACTCAGCACATGGGGATAGGGAATAGCTTTGCAGGGGAGGAAACAAGGGGTTTAAATTTTAAGGGGCATAGGATAATAGCCACATATCTTAGAAGAAATGTTGCAGAAATGATTGGCAGAGTAAGTCACACAAAGCAGCAGGCTTTTATAATACCTAACTAAAATAGAAAAGAGTAACCTATGTTAGGACATGAAGTAACTTACATTAGGAAACATACACGTGAAACTGTTGTACATATATAATTGGCAAACTAACTTTTTAGAAAATAGTATTATTTTTGAGCCTATCAGATACAGTATTCTATGAGCCAAACCCTCTCAAACTTAAAAAGGAAAAAAAAAAAATAAGACTTAGATGCAAAGGAAGTTTGATTTCTTTCCTTCAACTACCTCTTGAATGTCCTTCTTGTTATTCACAACCCACTTCTCTCATATTACACGACCCTGAGCAAGGTGATACAATTCCAAGATAAATACATCCTCCCAAGCACT